TGCACAAAGCGCCTTCACAGCTTACCTGCCGGTAATTCTTGCCTCTCAAAACAGACGCTTGCGCCACAAGCGTCAAACACAAAAAAACACAATGGCAGTGTTTCGCTGACATGTTCTTGTTTTACGCCTCGCACATGGCGCGAGGGTAAACACAACACATTCTTGCATGCACACAATGGAAAGAATATGAACTAACTTGCGTGTTTCCGCTATGAAACTGGCCCCTTGTTAGGGCACAAAATTTTTTTCTGGAGAGCATCACTAAGTTACGAAACCTAAACTGAACGTGTGGGGGTTGCAACGCACGTCAACATGCGTATGCGTTGCAGCAGATACGTTTTGGCACAGCGCAACACCTGCGGCCGCCCCTCGAAAATACGCAACATCAATACACAAACGGTTCAGGAACTTCACGTACAGGTGTTGATCCCTTGCAACAACGCATTAGGCTACAGACCCATGCGTGACTGTATTAATACAGGCGCCCCTCACTGTATGCGGCAGGTGTGTGTCAGGCCCATGGCACGTGGATTTAAATCTCACGAATCCTTGTCAACGGCAGAATCCCTCGCGTAGGAGCAGATTTATGTAAACAAGATGAACAGTGCAACTTACGGCATCATAATGGAAAGACTTTTTGGCCATCATAGAACAGCCAAAATTGCGGATATGATAAAGTAGATGAATAGTCTTTAAACTAAGAATTGACCAAATTGTGGCTGTGATAAAGTCTCTCATATATGAATCATCCATCTGAGAATTGACCAAATTGTGGATTTGATGGTTTTTGATCGATGAACTGTCGTCAATTTGACTGCCGTAAATCATACTGTGTCTTACTGTCACGCATTATTAGTGAATTACTGGCGGACACAGCCATTGTAAAGTCGATGCACACATTGTAAAACCACACCAGGCGAGAGATTATTGTGCTTTACCATCAGCTCGCTTATAAAGCTCCTAAAGTGTAGCTTTGTAAAGGCGACTGGAAAGGCCTTTCACTTTCAGATATACTTCTTCAGTCGCTCCCACGGAAATTCACACCACTGAGCTTTACGTGCGATCTGACTATTTCGTAAAGCTCTAGGCTCCATCCGGTAACCATGGCCCAGCCTATCACCGGTTGACCCGTCAACAACCTACGCATGTCTCAACACTCAAATATCATCCGCATAATTCTAACAAAAGCGTATTTGTAAAAAGAATTAAAAAATTGAATGCTACGTTGTTCTGTTGAGCCTAAATGATTGATGAGCGGACCACGGACAATTTTCAGGCAGTGAGCATCAAACCAATAACTGGTACAGTCAACCTTCAACTTAATGGACAAGATCCGCTACACAAAATCTGCCAAGTCTCTCAATTCGAACGTGACATCCACCAGTCGCAAATTTCCTGCCGTTACAGTCTGGGCAGAACAATCTGCTGGCCACCACAATCGCCGCTACCCCCTCCATTATTCCGCTAAGTTGAGAGTTGACTCCATTAACCTTGCTCTATTTAAATGGTCAGGTACAGAGAATCAAGGATATAAGGCTTATTTTGCTATATTAAACCCATGTGCATAGTGTCTTACTTACGTTGTACAATCATTTCCACCATACAATGATCTCCCTTATAGTGTACAATCATTTCCACTGTACAACCTCCTCTCTTGCAATTATTTCCACTGTACATCTCTCTTGTACAATTCTTTCCACTGTACAACCTCCTCCCTTGTACAATTATTTCTGCTGTTCAACCTCCTCCCTTGAACAATTATTTCCACTGTACAATCTCTTGTACAATAACTTCTGCTGTTCAATTTCTCTTTTACAATTATTTCTGCTGTACAACCTCCTCCCTCAGTTGCACAGCAGGGGACCAGTTATACAGCAGACCAGCCTTACAGCAGACCAGTTGTACAGCAGACCAGCCATACAGCAGACCAGCTGTACAGCAGACCAGTTGTACAGCAGGCCAGTTGTACAGCAGACCAGCTGTACAGTAGACCAGCCATACAGCAGACCAGCCTTACAGCAGAGAAGTCACACAGCAGTGGCAGTAGGTGAATCCTGCTGTCATAAATAACACAAGAGAGAGAGAGAGAGAGAGAGAGAGAGAGAGAGAGAGAATCAACTAAGCACAAGTATCAATTATAAAGATATCTCTCTCTTTCTATCAACCACCCTTTTAAGATCTCACATCATCCATATCCATCATACATAGGCAGATTATACACAGTAGAAGGATGACCCCCATGTATATCCTCGCAAGGAACGCTCTACAAAGAACGTTACACCCGGTCGAGCTCTTATTTGAAAAAGCTGATGCCTTACACTCTTATGGTTGAACATTCCACTCTGTCGAGCGA